GAGAGTGACGATGATAATATCCTGAAGGAGAACAGAACTTTCAGTGCTTTTAAACAGTAACTGTTAGTAATAAAAAAAAAATTAAAAAAAGTATTTTATTAATTTCATTTTCAGTGTTTTAGAAAGACAGATATTTTGTTGTGGTGCTTTGTAATGACTTTCAATTGAAATTCAAGTTTTCTACATATCTCATGTTATTATTTTCTCTCCACTCCATCCATCTGCTCCTGGTCCGGCCCAAAAAAAAGTTTGCCCACCCCTGGGTTAGATTTTTCACTACAGCACAGTTAACAACAAGATATTTAAGATTTGACTAAAAATCTGCACACAGTTTGATGTGGGAGTCTCTAAATGTTTGGCATTTCCAATCCATTCAATCCAACTTTATTTGTAGAGCACATTTTACCAACACAAAGTCTCCAACGTGCTGTACAGAGTCGGCACGATATAAATCAACACGTAAAATAAAATAAAGCATAAAATAAATAAACGAGTAAGTCAATAAAAACATAAAAAAAAAAAAAAACTAACATTATCAAATATAAAATTAGCAAATAGACCCAATAAAAGAGTCAGAGGAGCACATCCCTCTTGCTTTTTGTTCCTGCTGTCCACTCCTCTCTTCTCCCTCATCCCCCCTTTCTCTCTCCTCCTCTCTCTGTCTCTCCATCTCTTTCTCTTTCTCTTTCTCTCTCTGATTGACAGTTTACAGTCACACTTCTCCGCTCTGATCCGCCCTGACGTTTGCTTATTGCTGTGTCCGTTCTGCTTGTCTCTCCTCTTAACATCCTCCTCTCCGTCTCTTTTCCTCTCCTCTCTCGTCCTCCTCCTCGCCGTCTCTCATCCCTCCTTTCTCTCTGACTCTCTACTCCTCTTCTCTCCTTCCTTCCTTCTTCGTTTACATCCTCCTCATCTTAACCTCTCTCCTTCTCTCGTCTCCTCTATCTGTTCTTTCTCCTTCTTCCCTCCTCTTACCTCCTCCTCTCCATCCCTCCTTTCTCTTCATCTCTTCTCCTTTTTTCTCTCCTTCCTTTCCAAATGATTGAGGTTTGAGAGAAAAACGTGCGTGAATGAAACAAACAAACAAACAAAAAAAAAGCACAACTCCAGGTGTGTTCGTGATGAAGCTACAATATTCTACCATAGCTTTCATGCAGTTCTCCCCGTCGGAGTGGCGGAGCGGAGCCGCGGCTGAATTGGATTATCGTGTTTCTTATGGCGGTGTTTAAACAGAATGACTTAATGAGATTAGCTGCTGATGCCGCGACGACGACAATGACACAGACCTGACTTCATTAACACAACGCTACGAGGGAAGGAGGGAAGGAAGGAAGGAAGGAGGGAACGAAGGAAGGAGGGAGGAGGAGAGGGAGAGGAGGAGAGAAGGAATGAGAGGGAAACAGAGGAAGGAGCAGCAGAAGGAAAGAGGAGGGAGGAGAGAGGAAGGAAATAGAGGAGAGGAGGGAGAAGAGAGAGAGAAATAGAGAGGAGGGAGGAGAGGAGGAAAGAAATAGAGGAGAGGAGGGAGAAGAGAGAGGAAGAGGAGGGAGGAAAGATAAGGAGGGAGAAGAGAGAGAGAAATAGAGAGGAGGGAGGAGAGGAGGAAAGAAATAGAGGAGAGGAGGAAGGGGGAGAGAGGAATAGGAGGGAGGAGAGAGAGGCAAGAAAAAAGAGGAGGGAGGGGGAAAAGGAATGAGAGGGGAAAAAAGAGAGGGAGGGAAGAGTGAGAGGGAAATGGGGAGGAGGGAGGAAAGGGAAGGAGGAAAGAAGAGAAGGGAGGAGAGAAGGAACAAGAGGGAAATATAGGAGAGGATGAGAGAAGGAATGAGAGGGAAGTAGAGGAGAGGATGGAGGAGAGAGAGGGAGGAAACAAGAGGTGGAAGGAGAGAGAGGGAGAGAGGAAGAGAAGAGAGAGAGGAAACAAGAGCAGGGAGGAAAGAAGGAAAGAAAGAGAGGAGAGGAGGGAGGAGGAGAGAGAGGAGAGGAGGGAGGAAGGAGAGGGAAGGAAAGATAAGAGGAGGAGGAGAGGAGGAGGAGAGGGAGGAAAGAAGAGGAGAGAGGGAGGAAAGAAGAGGAGGGAGGGGGAAAAGGAAGGAGAGGGGAAAAAGAGAGGGAGGGAAGAGTGAGAGGGAAATGGGGAGGAGGGAGGAAAGAAGAGAAGGGAGGAGAGAAGGAACAAGAGGGAAATAGAGGAGGGAGGAGAGGAAGGAAAGAAGAGGAGAGAAGGAATGATAGAAAAATAGAGGAGAGGATGAGAGAAGGAATGAGAGGGAAGTAGAGGAGAGGGGAGGAAACAAGAGGTGGAAGGAGAGAGAGGGAGAGGGGAAGAGAGAGAGGAAACAAGAGCAGGGAGGAAAGAAGGAAAGAAAGAGAGGAGAGGAGGGAGGAAACAAGGGGAAGGAAAGATAAGGAGGGAGGAGAGAGAGGGAAGAAAAAAGAGGAGGGAGGAGAGAAGGAATGAGAGGGAAGTAGAGGAGAGGAGGGAGGAGAGGGAGGAAAGAAGAGGAACGAGGAGAGAGGGAGGAAAGAAGAGGAGGGAGGGGGAAAAGGAAGGAGAGGGGAAAAAAGAGAGGGGGGGAAGAGTGAGAGGGAAATCGGCAGAAGGGAGGAAAGAAGAGGAGGGAGGAGAGAATGAATGAGAGGGAAGTAGAGGAGAGGAGGGAGGAAAGGGAAGGAGGGAAGAAGAGGAAGGAGAGAGAGGAAGTGGAGGGAGTAGAGGAAGGGAGGGAGAAATATGAGGGAGGAGAGAAACGGAGGAAAGAAGAGGAGGGAGGACAGGGAGGGAAGAAAGAAGAGGAGGGAGGAGTCAAGGAAGGAGAGGGGGAAGAGAGGAGAGGATGGAGGAGAGGGAGGAAAGAAGAGAAGGAGAAGGTGGTGAGAGGGGGGATGAAAAAAGAGGAGGGAGGAGAGAAAAGAAGGGAGGAGAGAAGGAACATGATGGAAATAGAGGAGAGGAGGGGGAGGAAAGAAGAGGAAGGAGAGAGAGGAAGGAAAGGAGAGAGAGGGAGGAAAGAAAAGGATGGATGAGAGGGAGGGAGAGAAGAAGAGGAGGGAGGAAAGAAGGAAAGAAATAGAGGAGATGAGGGAGAAGAGAGAGGAAGAGAAGGGAGGAAAGATGAGGAGGGAGAAGAGAGAGAAAATAGAGAGGAGGGAGAGAGGAATAGGAGGGAGGAGAGAGAGATGAAAAAAGAGGAGGGAGGAGAGAAGGAGGGGAAGAGAGGAAAAGGAGGGAGGAGAGAAGGAGGAATCAGAGGGAAATAGAGAGGAGGGGAAGGAGAGAAGAGGAAGGAGAGAGAGGGAGGAAAGAAGTGGAGGAGAGAGAGGAAGAGGGGGAGAAGGGAGTCGAGGAAGGGAGGGAGAAATATGAGGGAGGAGAGAAACGGAGGAGAGAAGGAACAAGAGGGAAATAGAAGAGAGGAGGGAGGAGAAGGAGGGCGTAAAGAAGACGAGGGAGGAGAGAAGGAACGAGAGGAAAAGAGAGGAGAGAGGAGTGGAGGAACAAGAGGGAAATATCGAAGGGAGGAGATGAAGGATAGAAGAGGACGGAGGAAAGAGGGAGGGAAAGAGGGGAATAGAAGGGAGGAAAGAAGAGGAGGGAGGAGAGAAGGAGCATGAGGGAAACAGAGGAAGGAGGAGAGGAAGGAGGGAAGAGGAGGGAGGAAAGATGTGGAGGGAGGAGAGGAAGAAGGAAAGAAAAGGAGGGAGGAAAGGGAAGGAGGGAAAAGGAGGAGGGAGGAGAGGGAGGGGAAGAGAGGAATAGGAGGGAGGAGAGAAGGAGGAATCAGAGGGAAATAGAGAGGAGGGGAAGGAAAGAAGAGGAAGGAGAGAGAGGGAGGAAAGAAGTGGAGGGAGGAGAGGAAGAGGGGGAGAAGGGAGTCGAGGAAGGGAGGAGAAATATGAGGGAGGAGAGAAAGGAGGAGGAGAGAAGGAACAAGAGGGAAATAGAGGAGAGGAGGGAGGAGAAGGGGCGTAAGAAGAACGAGGGAGGAGAGAAGGAACGAGAGGAAAGAGAGGAGAGAGGAGTGGAGGAACAGAGGGAAATATCGAAGGGAGGAGATGAAGGATAGAAGAGGACGGAGGAAAGAGGGAGGGAAAGAGGGGAATAGAAGGGAGGAAAGAAGAGGAGGGAGGAGAGAAGGAGCATGAGGGAAACAGAGGAGGGAGGAGAGGAAGGAGGGAAGAGGAGGGAGGAAAGATGTGGAGGGAGGAGAGGAAGAAGGAAAGACAAGGAGGGAGGAAAGGGAAGGAGGGAGGAGAAGGAGGGGAAGAGAGGAACAGGAGAGAGGAGAGAAGGAACGAGAGAGAAATAGAAGAGAGGAAGGAGGAGGAGGAAAGAAAAGGAAGGAGAGAGAGAGAGGAGAGAGAGGAGGGAGGAGAGAAGAGGAGGGAGGAGACGAGTGAGAGGGAAATGGGGAGGAGACGAAGAAGGAAAGAGGGAGCAGAGGGAGAGAGCGAATGAGAGAGAGAGAGAGAAAAAGAGGAGGAGTGCAGGAATAGAATAAGAGGGAGAAAAAGAGGGAGAGTTATAATAAGTTATCAGAAGTTATAATATTTAGTTTGAAATTGTTAATCACTATGGCAACGGTCTTCACTTTTCATCATTCTGAAACCCAGAGACCGTTAAACCCAAAACATCTCAACTAAATACAATGTTTTTTTTAAATTTTGTATGTTTTTTGGTGTTTTCCGGTGGTTTTTCATCGTTTTGTGTTTTGCGTCGTTTCTCTATTTGCGGCGCTTTTGACGTCTTTGTTTGTCGCGGCGCGTTTTTCTTGCACCTCGTTCTTTGTTCGTACCTCGTTTAAACTCGTGAATTTGCACCGTTTTTGTACCTGAAGCTGTTTTCTCGAACTTAGAAGCATCGGACATCTTCGGTGAGAATCTACGACGCAAACGATGACGAGGAAAAACTGAACGAACCTTTGACTGGTCGTGTTTTTTGTATTTTTTTGTATTTTTTGTATTCCTGTGACTGATCTCTGGTCGTTTCTCGTGCGCAGGTGATGAGCGTGAATCTGTCGGAGGGGGACAAAGTGGTGTTCGAGGACGTAGGACGCGGGGAGAACTCCATGTTGGCCAACGAGACCATCCTGATGAGAGGGTTGGTCGTACGGAGCCACAGCAACCAGCTCTCCATCCGCTTCCACAGCAGCAGGCCGGAGGCAGGGACCGTGCTGCTCCGATACCAAGGTAAGAAGGATCCTCCATGTTTGTTTTCCCAGTGGGATGCGTCTATTGTCAAAGCCGATCTTTTCAAGTCTTTTGAATCATATCGTGTTTGTTTCTGGTTCTGATATTGTCATATTTTAGTTTTGGGATTCGGACGTCGTTAATTGTTGTGGTTGTTGGATCCTAACAGCGGAAAACGGGCTTTGGAAGTGTGGGTTTTTTCGGAAGGTTCAATGCGTGTCCTAAAAAGAAGCACGAGAGATGGAGAATCCGAGAGAACAGGCCACTTTATCTCGTCATTTTCCATTGAGAGGGATTCAAGTTGATTACCAAGTACAACTGCCACCCCGGAACGACGCCTCTGACCAACTCAAAATCAGGGGTAGCTTTATACTACATCTTGACAAAACATTAACTTGTTGATTTAGCATATACAGCAAGAAAATGAACAATACTGCTGACCCAGTACAACCTTATCATGGGTGGGAACATGCCACGGGGACCACATATGTCAGTTTTTCTGCTTCGTGGCACTCAAAGTCCAGAAAAACATGTTCTTTATGGCACTCCAAGTACAGAAAAAACATGTTATATAGACCTATAGATAGTCATACGTGTTTTCCACCCTGTTGTCATTCCAAAGTCCATAATATTGGGTAAATTAACATGGCCAACACATAATTTCCCACAGAAGTTTGCGAACTTCATAAATGCAAAAGGGAATCAGATGTGTGTGACTGCAAACCTCCGTTCAAACTGTTTTCCTTCCCAACGGAATTGAAAAATAGTGAAAGGTGAAGGCGACGGGCAGGATTGATCCACAGAAGAACCAAAAAGGAAACATTTGTCTGACTAAGAAATCATCCCGAGTTTGCGGCGAACATTTTCTATGTGGAGCGACGACAAAGCAAAATCCCGATCCCTCACTCAACCTCGGTTATGAATTTAAAAAGTCTAAACAAAAGGCACCAGCTGTTCGCCAAGAAACACCTTCCACTGCAAAGAGACCGAGACGTGATGTTGCTGTAAAACCACAAGAACAAGAAAGTGCAGCTCAGTCTGTTTGTCTTCTGTCCGTCTCGATTCAACAAACAGGATTCTGATTTTAGTCCTGGTTTAATCATGGTTCAGCCCTAGTTTAGACCTGGTTTAGTCCTAGTTTAGACCTGGTTTTAGTCCTGGTTTAGACCTGGTTTGGACCTGGTTTAGATCTGGTTTTAGACCTGGTTTGGACCTGGGTTTAGTCCTGGTTTAGTCCTAGTTTAGACCTTGTTTAGAACTGGTTTAGACCTGGTTTAGACCTGGTTTTAGTCCTGGTTTAGACCTGGGTTTAGACGTAGTTTGGACCTGGGTTTAGTCCTGGTTTAGTCCTAGTTTAGACCTTCTTTACACCTGGTTTAGACCTGGTTTGGATCTGGTTTTAGACCTGGTTTTAGTCCTGGTTTAGTCCTAGCTTAGACCTTGTTTAGACCTGGTTTGGACCTGGGTTTAGACCTGGTTTAGTCCTAGTTTAGTCCTGGTTTTAGTCCTGGTTTAGACCTGGTTTGGACCTGGTTTAGATCTGGTTTAAGACCTGGTTTTAGTCCTAGTTTAGACTTGGTTTAGACCTGGGTTTAGACCTGGTTTGGACCTGGGTTTAGTCCTGTTTAGTCCTAGTTTAGACCTTGTTTAAAACTGGTTTAGACCTGGTTTAGACCTGGTTTTAGTCCTGGTTTAGACCTGGGTTTAGACGTAGTTTGGACCTGGGTTTAGTCCTGGTTTAGACCTAGTTTAGACCTTCTTTTCACATGGTTTAGACCTGGTTTGGATCTGGTTTTAGACCTGGTTTAGCCCTGGTTTTAGTCCTGGTTTAGTCCTAGTTGAGACCTTGTTTAGACCTGGTTTGGACCTGGGTTTAAACCTGGTTTAGTGTCCGGCAATGAAAAAAAAAAAGGGGGACATAGCCCAAAATGTGAAAACAGTAAAATACCTCTGTGTAATCCATTTACTTCAACAAAGTAACTGTAATCCAATTACCACTCACTGAAACAGTAACTGTAACTGAATACAGTTACTCATAATTTGTACTCTGATTACATAACTCTGGTACATGTAATCTGTTACTCCCCAACACTGGATATAACAAATATCGTCCTTTTAATTGTCGACTAGTCACGTTTCTTCTGATTAATTCTTACAGACTTAATGTCAAATGAGCGATGTAAATTGTGTGTGAAATATCTTGTTTTATCTCAAATTTACAATCTGTCTTCGTTCTGTATCTGTATATTCCGCGCCCTGTAACACCGGCCCGCGTCTGTAGAGTTGAGAAACGTCCGCCGCTGTCCTCTCCGTCGCTATAAATACGTTTAGCACAGTGGTTTATGGGGAAAGCTCCAGTCTGTGGCTTTATTAAATCTTCTGCTCCTCGGAGACAGGCCATTTTTCACTGCCCCGCGCCAACGCAAGCATCAGCACAACGTCCACACATCCCGTAATAATCCCATCCACACTCGGGCTGGAAGCGCGGGCCCGAGGATTATGGGTAAATATAGGGACAGGCTCCATCTCGTCAGGGTTTAAATGTCTTAAGTGTGCGCTGTCTGCTGAACTGCCAAAAGATTAACACCTATAATAGTTATTGTTCAAATCTGTTAAAAGGTTAAAACTTGAAGGTTAAACTTCACCAAAAGTTGACATAGTTATAATTAAAGATGCACGGTGTAACATTTCTGTGAGGGTCTGTCGAGCTTTTTTCCACGGAGATGTCGTTGCGTTTAACCTGGAATTTTCCAAAACACGGCACTAAACGTATCAATTTCCAAAAAAACAAGCGAGTGATGCGAAAAGGCCAAGTTAAAGGTCAGATCTGTGGAAAGGCGACTACACTGACAGTTGCCACGTTTACATGAGAGCTTTAATTCTGAATAAAAATTAATTTTGCTGTAAAAAGAGCATGTAAATTAATTCATTAAAGGGCCCATCTCAGGCAAAATCAACTTTTCAGAGCGTTCTACCTTCTAAGATTGATGTGTAGGCATTGTATTTGTCGTCGAAGTTGTTGTTAGTTAGATTCAGTGTTTTTTTTTAACAAATTGCAGCGTATTTCCGCCACCCTCCCACGTGACGTAACTTGCTTGCGCTTGAACTTCGTGCTCCTCAAAGTCCTCGTCCGATTCTGGGTCCAACACATGCGGCTGAACGCGCTGTATCTCCATGATGAATAAAAGTTTATTCCTGTCGCGATCAGGGTCACGTCTGTATCCCCCTCCCTCCCTGAGACGGCGGAGGAAGGGCGGCTCACTCAGAGCCTATGTCACGTTTGGAGGGCGGAGCCTGCGCTTTCTCAGGACGGGCAATAGTCGGACTTTCATAGTTCCTGGTCTGTGACGCCTCCAAGAAATCAGTAAGATTTCATAACTATTGTGTAATGGATGTTCCAAAACCCAAATTGTGCTTAAGATACTATGTGAAAAGAGTTATTTTACATGAGATGGGACCTTTAATTCCTAATTAAAATGATTATTTGGAATTAAACTGGTGATATATGGTGATTTATTCTGATTTTAAAGCTGAGTTAATTTACTCCTCAATCATGTAAATGTTTATTTTTCTTAAAAATAATGTCGGTTGTTCAACACATGCTCGTTGTGTCGTCCTTCTGATGCGATCCAGATGATCCGGCTCCACCAGTCGTGTCTTGGGACTTTCCTCCACGTCTCTTTGGATTTGTGATGTGGATGTGGGAGTGGGCTGAGGTAGAGCAGCCTCACACTCACTTTGTCTTCTTCCTCCTTCTCCGACGCTCTTCCCTTCTCCTCCTCGGCCGACAGACGTAAAACATATCTACGTCGACCAGAAGAAAACACACACTTCAGCTGCTACCGGCTCGGTTTGTCGTTACTCCACGGACACAAACACGATCCAAACTTTTTCCCGCGGTGGTTCCGATGATAATTGCGAAGCAGCGGCTGGAGAATTGTCTCATCACGCTTTACGTCTGTCGGCCGAGGAGGAGAAGGGAAGAGCGTCGGAGAAGGAGGAAGAAGACAAAGTGAGCGTGAGGCTGTTGTACCTCAGCCCACTCCCACATCCACATCACAAATCCAAAGAGACGTGGAGGAAAGTCCGAAGACACGACTGGTGGAACCGGATCCAACACAGCCGGACGACACAACGAACACGAACTGAACGACCGGGATTATTTTTAAGAAGAATAAACATTTACATGATTGGGAAGTAAATTAATTTGGCTTTAAAATAACCATCCACTTACTTCAGATTTTCATTAGGAATTAAGAGTTTACATGGTCTTTTTAATTCATTTTTATTCAGAATTAACTTATTTTTATTCAGATTAAAGCTCTCATGTAAACGTGTCCATTATTGGCCGATAGAAAATTGTGATATAGTTTGAAATCCAGCAATACAACAAGAAATAGCGTAAGAAAAACAAATTCGGCGAGAAATTAGAAGTTCTTTTTGTTTTCCCTTTTGTTCGTCTGAGGGGGTATCCCATAATTCTTTGCGATGCCATGTCACGACCTATTTTTAGTTGGTGAAAATCGCTTTTAGGCCCCACGGCAGAGATTTGAAGTGCTGTCGAGATCCGTGTTTGAGACTCTGAGTTCAGCCTCCGCTCGTCTCTCGGCGCAGATGGAGACGGATTCCGCGCTGGTTCGACTGTTTATTCAGAGTTTTGCTTTTTTTTTTTCCCCTCTCTCCTCGTTCCGGTCTTCATCAAACAGTCGTGATGTGTTTTCCCGCGTAAATGTCGGGTTTGGTGCGTTTGGTAATACGGCAATCATCTCCACACTTAAAAACAGGCCTCGCGCTCCTGGTTTTGATCGGGAAAAGGGGGGTTCTTAGCCGTAATTGGCGGTCTTGGCGGAGGCCCGGTCGGTTTAAAGCGAGGAGCGGTGACATTTTGCGGCCGTTTCTTTTCATCGTCGACCGAAGCGGAGTCTGTGTCGGCGCGGCTCAAGGGACACGTGCTTTGAGTCGCTGCCTGGAGGAGTAAATATGTGTTTTCATCAAGCTCT